ATTGAGTTGTAAATGATTCCTGGTTTTCATGATGATAGCACATTCCTAAGGGGGTCAAATCAGGTCATAAAGGTCACCGGGTCACTTGTTCCTTAAAGTTGGGGTTCCAAACACACCTTTGGGGGCTTATAACTTGGCTTCTGAATGTCTCAGAGAGGTCAGATGTGTGTTTAAAATACTCCAATTAACAGCCCCTACCACCACGAAAAGGAATGGAGTCATTAGCACTTATGGTTTTTAAATGGCACCCAGAATTATGTCGCACAAAGCACAATTTCACATCATTCCGGGTCCATTTCTCAGAAAAAAAAGCTTCAATCAGGCTGAAATTCACAGAAAAGTAGAATCTATTGAGTTGTAAATGATTCCCGTGTTTCATGATGATAGCACATTCCTAAGGGGGTCAAATCAGGTCATAAAGGTCACCGGATCACTTGTTCCTTAAAGGCGGGGTTCCAAACACACCTTTGGGGACCTTTAACTTGGCTTCTGAATGTCCTAGAGAGGTCAGGTTTGTTTTAGGGTACTCCAATCAACAGCCCCTATTACACCAAAAAGGAATGGAGTCATTAGCACTTATGGTTTTCAAATGGCACCCAGAATTATGTTGCACGAAGCACAATTTCACATCATTCTGGGTCCATTTCTCAGAGAAAAGGTTCAATCAGGCTGAAACGTCACAGAAAAGTAGAATCTATTGAGTTGTAAATGATTCCTGTGTTTCATGATGATAGCACATTCCTAACGGGGTCAAATCAAGTCATAATCGTCACCAGATCACTTGTTCCTTAAAGGCACAGTCTGCAACATTTAAATATAGAATAACTTTAAAAATGTTTGATTTTGACCATCTGACCCAATTTTATTAAAAAAAGTAAATAATCTTTAATATTTCAATTTTCTCCTAAGTCCCTCCCCTGCCCTGTAGAGCTCAGCCAATATTTCTGCAAGCCTAACGCGTTGACCAATAGCGCTGCGCTTCCACCAGGGGGCAGCATTCAATCATCGAGCACGAGCAGGTCTCAGCGTGCACAACAGTGTCACGCGCCTCACTCGGCTTACTGCAGAAACATGGAGCAACAAAACCCCAAATTACCGATTCCTCGACTGCTTTCCACATCTCAAAAAACATTTAAAAAGTTTAAAAGCCCTTCTTCAAAAGTGGCTGTAAGATGTTTAAGACAGTCGAGTAGAATTTACATTGGAGATTGTTTTACACACGATGGAGAGATTTTCGTGATCTACACGGCCTGAAAACGGATGAAGAGTTGGCAAAGTATCTTTTAGACAGGTAAGTTATTTATTGTTTTTCGGATAAATTTACTTATAATCTTTCTTTCACTGAAAGAAGTAATAGAGCAAACAAGCTTTGTATGCTTGGTGTCCTATTGGCTAATGTAGCATTAGCTTGAATGCTAAGTCGACATGAATCGATGCTAGTCGAACTATTTATGCTATATTTGGAAGAAGTTTGAGTAACGAAAGGGGATTTTAGGTTTTTTTTTATATGTGAGCTAATGCTTAGTGTGGCGTTTAACTATAGGCCACATCAGTATATTGTTTTAAGCTCTTGTTTATAACTTCCCCGTTAGCGGGGTTCAGTTAGCATCTTGAAAGCTTAATTAGGTGTTTACACTTTCCTGAGCTGCGTGTTTGATTAAAATGAGTAATCAGCAGCTCATGTAGCACTTGTAGAAGTCTGAGGAGATGATTCAGCAGTTAGAATTAGGTGTGATTGATCAGGAACGTATCCAAAACCTTACGTTTCCATTAGCACTGAAAGACTTATTGTGCTAACCTGTGTGGGCCACGTGTACAGATTACCGTCTGAGTTTGTGGTCTTACCTACGTGAAAACTCCATATTAAAATAAAAGTAATGATAATCAGCTTGTGCAAAAATCTGTGAAGGCTGGGGAGACTTGTTTAGCTTGTGATCACTAATTTTTGGGCTTTTGTTTTTAACAGTCATCAGTCCAAATATGAAGCATCAACATCTACACCATTGAAGCGCCAACTGTGTATTTCTCCAACACCAGTGCCAGCTCTGTCTAGCATTCATGGAGAATCATCTGAAAGGTAACTAGCTGCGTAAAAACCTCTACCAGGAATATTATAATTTTGCCTCTGTTTGTTTTAAGTTAGTGGTGGATTATTTTGAAAAAATTCTAGAAATGGGATAATGAATGACTATAAAAAACGTATAGAAATAAATAGTAAAACTACATTTTATATAGCGCCTCTCAAGATAAAACTCTTGAGGCACTTCACAACAACAAAATTAAACATATTTTAAAAAATTATCTTTTTATTTCAAAGTTTATGAGAAAAAAATAACACAATTGTGTTTTTAAAATGTAAAGAGAGAGACAGGAAATTATTTGTAAAGAAGGAATTCAGTGGATACAGAGAAATGCGTAATAAGTAGAGTGAGAAAAATAAGGAGAGGGTGATGATGACGGCCTATAGACGAGGTCTATTACCTTCAAAATGACAAAATATGTATTGATTCTAATCATTTTCTTGTGCTTGTATTTTATTTTCATAGGGATGATAATTTGGAGGAGGTGATGGAACAAGGTGAAACTAAAAAAGAAGGATCTTCACAAATGTAAGTACGAGGTTGTATCTGTATTTGGCTGTCACATTTGTCAGGAAAAGAAAACTATAATTACTTTTTTAGGTTATCTTGTGTGGGAATTGAAGCAAACATTGACGAGGAAGAGTTCAACAATATTCAAAACTCTGTGTAAGTATTCAGATGTTAATAAAATGTGTCTAATTTTCCATACTAAAAACTTTATATTGTGTATATTCAGGATAGAGTCATCAGATGACACATGGTCACCAAACAGAGAACCAGAAGTTGATTCGTCTTCAGAGGAGGATGAAACCATCGAGATGGACAGCGGTACTGATGACAGCGGTGATGAGGACTACACACCTTATATACACATAAGGTAATTCCTTTTGTTTAACATTCTATAAAACTGAAATAGCGCATAGTTAATAAAAAGCTTTTGTTCACAGGACTGGAGCAGCATTACAAAAAACATTACAACTTGAGACTCTGCAAGAAATTAACATAGAGGATACAGTTCATGACTGTAATATCCCAGAAGCAACTGACCGACGTTTGACAAGCAAGAAAGGTCTTCCTCGACGCTACAAGCTAATGCCTGAGGATCCAAGGCGTTATGGTTTGCTGTCCGGAGTTCCTGCACCATCAACAGAGGAACTTCTACAACACCTACGGACTTGCGGTGATGGTAAAATAAAACATTATCTGCCTTACATCTTCCACACAATAGTCCATTGCTAATTGAGTTTATTTTTTATTTACAGGTAAAACTTTGCCACAGACATAGGTGTTGGGGGAGGCAAGAGAAAACCCAAAAACTTCTTTATTTTTGTTTCCTGTTTTTTTTTTTTTTGAAAATAAAGATATATTTTGGGGAAATAAGGACTAATAATTTTAAAATTTATGTAAAATGTTGGAGGTAGACATAATTTTTTGTTGTTGTGCAGGAGTTTTAAAATGTATGGTATTTTTACAAATGCAACACAGAGTTGTGCTTTAGAACACTTTATTAGAGCATCAAACAAAAATATATAAAAAACAAACTTATGTAAAATATCAAATATTCACATTTATTTACAATTGTCTTGGAATAAAACCAGTGTAGTTACCATTGGGGTCAGGGAATTTTGCAGAATAAACTCCTCCATGTGTGGTACAGTTGAAATACATGTCTGGGGAGGCTGTTGGCAGCATTTCTTTTCCAAATCAGTTGGCATATCTCTGCAGTGGGAGCATACACACCATGAAGGTTGATTGGGTGTTGGAGGTGTTGTGGCAGGTGGACCAGAGAGGGCAAGTACATCAAAGAGAACACCAGGGTCTCTGTCCAGCACCATGGTAAGGACGTCAATAGCCTGCTGAGGGTTCAGGTTCTGTATGTGTTGCTACAAAAGTGGAAAGAGATGCTACAGCAACAGTTATGCTTACACGTTCAAAGTCTATTTGCTCGGAACAAAGATTCCGAACTCGAGAGAGATCTTCATCTCCGAGGTCCACAGCTGAGTGTCTCACACTTCTTCGGCCTCTGGATGCACCGCGGCCTCTAGACGCACCACGGCCTCTGGATGCACCGCGGCTTTGAGATGATGGTGGGCATCTCCTTTTTGCACCACGTCTTGAGGATGCAATAGGAGGTTCAAACTCTTCCTCAGAGGATTCCTCAATCACTGAACTCTAAATTGTATTAGAATAAAAAAAATTATACTAATATAAAAAGTACTCTTGCATATTAATTTTGACACAGATCAGGTTTACATCTAGTCAAAATTTGGGCTAAACCAACAATAAACAGAAACCCTATGAAAACAACCATGATTATAGGAGGACTACACAGAATGCAGTGTTTATTCATGATTTCCACATAAATTATTTATATGCTTTGATATATTCATCCCATCTTGAATGGCAAAGCAATTAAAAATGAGCTAGTTACTTGTAATAAAATGCTAACAATTTGATAGGATTCATTTTGTTTACACTATAGATTGCCAACTGTTACTGGTATTTTAAAATATAAATATATTTATAGATATTCTTTATAAAATGCCTTTTGTAAACAGTAAGTGTTTAATGTGCTGGTTAAATACAACTTTCTTACTTCAGATAACTCCATTGCTAACACTAGCTCAGCTCTATTACAAGAAGCAATGCTCTGGTGTTGCTTTTCCTGCGCGTGCACATTGGGAGGTGTGGCTTTCGGCTCTTTCAGGAAGGGCGGGGGAGTGAGCAACAGCCGTTTGAATTTAAAAATCTCCTCCTCATCTTGACGGCGTCATCCTGCGAACTGTGCCTTTAAATATAATTTTTACTAGTAACAACTAGCTTTTGATATCTTTATTTGCCATTTTCACTAATAAGAATTCAATTAGTACATAGTAGTGCATACATTATGTTAATACAAATCAGGAGTTGATGAGATGTGCGATTATTAATTATATGTTAAAACGACTTACCATAATAAAGAGGTGGCCTTTAGCCGTCCATCTTTTTCGCGTCACACTGGCAGTTAGCGAGAGCAGCAGTACGAACAAGAAGACGCATCTTCACGCTTCCAGACTGCCGTTTGGATACATTTTGTCCTACATCTATTGGCAAGACTCGGCTTTACTCTACAATTTGTTCGAGATTTTATATTTGTTACTAGTGTAAGTTTGATCGTAGTTTAAGTGGCCTGTTGTTGATCGATACCTGTACATCCTGTCATTTAATGAGCTAAAGCAACTAGGCCTGTTTACACACGAAGCTAACGTCTTCTTGGTTTAAGATTACTGAGTCGGAAAGTCGAGACTCGACAAATTAGCCACTGGCAAAGCAAAAATTGTTACGATAATTTTGTTACTGTGAACACAACCTGACGGTTAAACTATTCTAGTTGTTTGTGTTGTTTAGCCAGAGCTAGCCTTTTTCTGATGAGTTAGCTTTGTGTGCAGCTAGGCAACATAGAAACCAGTGTGTGCAGGTGGCGTTGTGGGGTGGCCCGTGAGCTACTTTTACACCATGAAAGTACAGAAGAGCTACTGCCACACAATTTATTAACCTCGATACTTTCCATGTGTAAATATACATTCTAATATTAAAATGCTACACGTACTATATCACCATTCATTTAAATGCACCAAAATAAAATTAAAAATTGTACAAGGAAAATAGTGACATAAATAGTGACATTCTGAAAGTCAAACTACACAACATATTTTGTCATATAAATAACCAGACACTTTCAGATAATGAATTATTTGACTTTAAATTTTTTTTAGAATGGCTCAGTAACAAACTCACTTCAGTAAAGTTAGCAAGATATTCACAGATTCGACTTTTGCGGCTCAATACCTCCTGAACACAGGGGTATTTAGAAACATAGCATACCTCTTTGATATCGTGGCAAGGTAGAGAACAAGCTACAACTTAAAAAAATCCGTTCTCTGTCGTGCTCTGCTCCCGACGCGTTACATTGGTCTGTGATTCTGTGTGGGCCGACGGAGCAAAACGATCGCTCAGGGACCGTCAGCAAATAATCACACCAGAAACGTTTGATGATAAACTATGTGAAAAAGTCCACTATTACACACTGCAGTGTGACAATTCACAAAATACAACACTGCACACACGCTGATCACACTACACTATTTAGTTTAATCCAGGTATACAGTTTAGATTTAGTGTGAAACTTTTAATAACATAAATTGGAAAAGCTCCTCCATTTGAAACTATAGTGACACCAAATAAACACAGAAAATCACAAATTTGATGCTGATCATATTACACATTTTATATTTTAGAGAAAATACCACACTTTACTCTGTTGACACAAAATCATGCTCTACATACTACAAACTTTACTTTGAGTAAAAAGTGCTTCTCTGATGTTTTGTGAATTTTTTAAGTTTTCTAATTTCAATAGCTCCTACACTGTATACGCTGTTGACACAAAATCATGCATGCTGGTAAATACTTGGCTGCTTTACATACTACAAACTTTACCTTTGGCAAAAAATACTTCTCTGATTTGTTGTGAATTTTTTAAAATGTTTTAATTTGAATAGCTCCTACACTGTAAATTCTGTTGACACAAAATCATGTGTGCTGGTCAATACTAAGCTGCTCTACATAGTCTAACCCTAACCAGCACACATGATTTTGTGTCAACAGAATTTACAGTGTAGGAGCTATTCAAATTAAAACATTTTAAAAAAATCACAACAAATCAGATAAGTATTTTTTCCTAAAAGTATAGTTTGTAGTATGTAGACCAGGTAAGTATTTACCAGCACACATTATTTTGTGTCAATAGAGTTTACAGTGTAGGAGCTATTGAAGTCTGTTAGTTGGAAATAAATCACCAAAATCAGAGAAGTTCAAATAAATAAATAAATAAAAGGTGCAGACTGTAGATAATGTAAGTGCTAATTATTCGGCGTTACTTTGGTGTCACTAACATTTTCAATGTGGAAAATATAGATAATTATAAGGTATAAAAAATAACTGTATCCAATAATAATGTGCTGTGTGATTTTGGTATCAATACATTTTAAAATTGAGCAGATATCAAAATTAACAACTTTTAAAAATTAAAATGCAAAAAAAACATGTTACTGGATTACCATAACCGCTGTAGGATGAACAACATGTGTGTAGTGTTATATTTTAAGAATTTGGTGACACTGCAGTTCTTTAATATTTTGTCGAGAGATGTTTCTGGTTAGTCTATTCTCAGACGGTCCCTGAGCGCTCGGCAGGTTCGTGGTCTCAGAGAGCACAATTTAGCTCATCGGGAGCTGAGGACGGTGTTTTTTGAAAGAAACGAGGTTGTAGCTTGTTCACTACCTTGCCACGATACCAAAGAGGTATGTTATGTTTCTAAATACCCCTGTGTTCAGGAGGTATTAAGCCGCAAAAGTCGAATCTGTGAATATCTTGCTAACTTTACTGAAGTCATAAACTTTTGAGCACACAGGAACATGTTAGATGTTCCCTGTCGCTCACCCTGTGCACTCATAGGGGTGTGTCCGAATCCAGGGGCAGGATGCTTGTGAGGACGGGGCGTTACCGGTCCAGCTAGGTCGGGTCCATGCTCGACCGCTAAAACCGGAAGCCAGCGGCTCTGAATTTGGACAGTCTAGCCCTCACCTCCACGATGGCCTGTATGTAGATCTTGTCACAACCGTGGCGGCAGCTAACACGCAAAGGAAAAATGCAAAAGCTAGCAAAAATCGAGCAGGAATATTTTAGGAGCTACAGCAGCTTCACATCCATCACCAGCGTTTGTTCACAACCATTTTCAGGTAATTTTGTTTATTCTGTGCAGTAGGACAGTTTCCAATGTTAATTGGACTTTAGCACTTATTTAGCATCAAGTGGGTGTAAACATTTTAAAAACAGGCGTTTTGTAAATAAAGTAACATAAAAGTGTTTTCAATGTGCATTTGTTGATTCAACATAAGCCTAATAACACTTAGATCTGTCTTAAAAATGTAAATTCTCTGTAGTTTTTATTTAACTATTCCCTGCTGCTTTTCTTTAAACAGAACAGAACCAGTTTACTGCAGGTTATATGTTTGTTTTACATTTTTCATTTAAAAAATATTAAATCTATTACAGGTCAGCATGCACTATTGTGCACATCTGCCTCTGTGCTGGTGAAGTTGTGGCCCTGGAGAATGAGACTGAGGAAGATGTTACAGACGATCAGAGGCTGGTATGGAGGTCAGTGGTGCTCTGTCCTGGAGGAGGTACCACAGGGTATCCGCGGGTCCTTAAAAAGCCTTAAAAAGTCTTAAATTAGCTTTTCCAAATTTAAGGCCTTAAAAATCCTTAAAATTGACAAATAATCCTTAAATACAGTTTCCAGAGGTCTTAAATTACCAAAGACCCAATAAACAAGATTCTTTTATTTCTATAAAATTTTCGTGAATTTCTAGTTAGTGTTCAGCATTTTTTGTTTATGATATTGGCATAAGCAGAACCGTACACATTCAGTTGGTTGTGTAAGGGGGCTATTTTTAGATTAGCACGTTAGCTGGTTAAGCTAGTGGGAGTTTGCGCCATGGGAAAGTGCAAGTTTAATGGTAACTGGATGTCTAATCCCACGATCGCTGCGTGGTTAGCACCGGTTCCAGGCAATAGCTGGAAATTATACCTTAAATTTAATTTTTCAAAATGATAAATGACGCGTACTTGTATAGTGCCTCTCAGAGTAAGGACCCCAAAGTGCTTTACACTACAGTGTATCATTGATACATTCGCACACACATTCAGACACTGATGGTGATGAGCTACGATGTAGCCACAGCTGCCCTGGGGCGCACTGACAGAGTCGAGGCTTCCGAGCACTGGCGCCACCGGTCCCTCTGACCACCACCAGCAGGCAAGGTGGGTTAAGTGTCTTGCCAAAGGACACAACAGCAGAATTATCTGTCCGGAGCCGGGATCGAACCTGCAACCTTGCGATTACTGGACAACCCGCTCAACCTGTTGAGCTACTGCTGCCCTACTTAAATAGCTTAAATTTGGTCAAAGTGGCCTTAAAAAAGGTCTTAAAAAGTCTTAAATTAGGTTCCCCTAAACCTGCAGATACCCTGTACCAGCAGACCACCACTGCTGTTAACTGGCAAGTCATTTATGTACGAACCTCTATTAACTCATTCACTGGCAGCCGTTTCCTGATCACTAACGGCCTTCGCTGCCAGCGTTTCTCACCGTTTTTACTGTTTTTTTAAGAGTCACAGAACGTTGCGCGCTAGCATGATGTCGATGCCAAAACAACCTAAACAAAGAGGAGACTCACCTCTTACATCAGGAAGAAGCCGTGTGTTTCGAGCGTTATCCGTTCTTTCATAATCTGTTGTCGAATTGTGATCGGCAGACGCTTTTCCGGTTCGCGCCTCACTTTTTTTACAGGAACGGCCCAAAACGATCTCCTAACACATGGATGTGTTGCTTCCTGATCATGTGATCTGTGACGTATGCGGATGAAGATCGGCTTCAGGGCTGAGATGTTTGTTCTCTCAGCGCGGGGGCTCGTTCTGATGCTCAAACAGTAAAAAAAATGCAAATGACAACTAGTCGTCATTGGCAGTGAACGGTTGGATCTAAAATGACGACTTTAGTCGTCATTGGCAGTGAATGAGTTAAAAACAACACTGTGGTTTTATTTGCTGAAGAATCACAATTGTTATACTAGTGGATCCATAAACCATCTCCTCATTTCATATTTCCGAATACGTCTTAGAGATGTAACAGCCGTCATCTGAGCCAGCCCAGCAGTCCCTGTAGATGGACGATGGAGTGGACAGTGAGAGGAAGCATCCCAAAGCTCTCTCTGCAGACCGTCCTGTATGATGTTCCTCTGACCAGAAACATTCAGCCACTGCTGTTCCAGCCCTCCTTCCACGTCTGGGATCCTCCTGCAGCAGATCCAGCTACATTGCCAAACTTCCTGCTTACTCAGTGTAAATAAATAATCCAGGAAAAGAGTCACTCAGATTAATCCTGCATCACCTGTACATAACTGGTCCATATTTGTTTTGATCTGTAAATAACTGTCATGTATTATAAATCTTGTATATTTTCATTTTCTGTTCTAAATAATAAAACTGGTGATAAAATGGCTTATCAAATGAGTTATCAGTTAGTAATTGTTTTAATG